CACCAGATACTAAAAAAATTGCTTACCTGGGCCTCTGACTGCTGCATTTCACGTTCCTCACGCTCCAAGCAGAGAACTGCATAGATATCTTTCTCTAAATTCTCAATCTTCTCCCGAAATTTCAATATGACATCTGTAAACAATACCATATGAACACCAGAGGCAGCTCATGTGAAGTCCATCTTATTTTTCAGCACCTCCTTTAGTGTCCCTCTGTACCACAATATTCCCTGTGTACTCTCTCCAGCTTTTTACCTCAGTAAATAGAAGTACCACATACCTTGGGGGAGGATTCTGGCTTTCACTGGTGCTTTAGCAGTCTTGACAATCTCCTTCAGCATCTTGCGCTCTTCCTCACCCACCAGTGAAACTGAACGACCAGCCTTGCCTGCCCTGGCTGTCCGACCCACACGGTGCACATAGTGTTTGATGGTGTTAGGCATGGTAAAATTGATGACCTGTAACAGAAACAGTGTTAGTTGGGAATCAACATGAAATGCCTCATTAAAAAGCACAGCATTTCAAATACTCACTGTTTTAACACCTTCAATATCGAGTCCACGTGCAGCCACGTCTGTAGCTACCAGGATATCAATCTGCTCATCCTTAAAGCGCCTGAGCAGAGAAATCAAATGCATTAGCAATGAATGTAGCCATCTATTTCCACCCTAAAACTTCCAACTTGGAACTTCTTTTTAGCTTAGGCTTGCTAACTGAGCCTGCTAATACCTGAGTGATTCCAGCCGCTGTGTCTGAGAGAGGTTCCCATGAAGCTCCCCAACCCGCAGGCCCATCAGTCCCAGCAGGATGTGCATGCGGTGAGCTTGCTTCTTGGTCTGGGTGAAAAGCATCACGTGATCCTGGAACGTTCGTGTCAGCAGAGCTGGAAGAAAGTCCTCTCAGAAGCCTGCTCCACAGTCACTCACTGATCCCAGCTTGCCTTGGCTCATCACTAACCTGTTACAATGGCCTCCCGGTCCCCCTCCCGGTTGGGTCTGATCCGGATAAATTCCTGCCGCAGGAAAGGCGCAACATCTGTGTTGCTGTTCACGAAAATTCGGACGGGATTTTTCAGGGAAACAGAAGCCAAATCTTTCACCTACAAAAACAGGTTAAGAAAAAAAAGTCCACGTGATTTCTGGTAAAAGACCTGACAAATTCCCATTCAACTTCCTGCCTGGGTATGTTTCTCAGCAGCTTGTCTTACCTCCTCAGTCATTGTGGCAGAGAAAAGCATTGTCTGACGGTGGTGGGAACACAACCTGATTATTTCTTTCATTTGTTCCTCAAAGTATTCATCCAGCATCCTGCACAGGAGAAAAAAAGCAAGGTAAGGCAGCTTCACTTGGGCCTGGCCAAGAAACATTACACAAGGCAAGACAACAAGGACAGCCTGATACCCTGGAGAAAGGAAAGCAGAAAACTGCCATGTTTTTCATTGCTGTCCTGCTTACCCTACCTGTCTGCTTCATCCAAAATCAGCACCTCAACACTGCTCAGGTGGAAAGAAGGGCAGTTGTGGAGATGATCAATCAGTCGCCCAGGAGTGGCAATAAGAATGTCTGGCCCTGAGCGCAAAGCAGCTTCCTGAGTCTTCACATCCAGGCCACCTGAAAGAGAGGGAATACAGATTGCTGACCCCCTGAGCACACTGCAGCAGAGTACAGCAATGCAAACTGCCTGAGGAATGGGAAGCACCTCAGATAAAACGACATCCAAAACCAGAAATATTTTCTTTCTCAGAAACAGGTAAACAAGTACAGCACAACCTTGGAAAGCAAGATTTTAAACCACATTGCATCTACTAGAAGCATAAAACCATACAGCCTCCAGTTTTACACACAGAATTCCCAGTTCTGTATAGCGGTTTACAATGAGCTGTACAGTTCACATAAATGACTGAACACTCACCTACTGCCAGGCAAGTTGTGACACTGCTGAACTGTGCCAGCTGTTTAGTAACAGAGTGCACCTGAATCCCCAGTTCTCGTGTTGGCACCAGAACCAGCACACGTGTTATTGGAGCCTGACGAGGTTTGTAAATCAGGCGCTCAAGGACAGGCAAGATGAAGGCAGCTGTTTTACCTGAAAAACAAAACATTAAGAAGGGTTACCCATTATTGTGAATAGCTGATTCTCTGTTTCTAGTGTCCTGGTGAACCCCTACCTGTCCCAGTGGCAGCACAAGCACAAATGTCCTTTCCCAGAAGACCCACTGGGATACAAGCCTTCTGAATCGGGGTTGGTTGCTTGAAGCCAAGAGCTGTGATCGCCTAGAAAGGAGGGAGAGCAATTAAACTCTGTCTGTGGTGTGGCCACACCTGGAGTGCTGTGCCCAGAGCTGGGCTCATCACTACAAGACACACAGACATACTGCAGAGAGACAAGCAATGGGCTACCAAGATTATTAAGGGCTTGGGAGCACGTCACATCTGAGGAAAGACTGACAGAGCTGGCACTACTGAGCCTGGAGAAGGCTCAGGGGGAAATCTGTCAATGTCAATAAATACCTGATGAGAGGGTGGAAAGTCGATGGAGGCAGGTTCTTTTCAGTGGTGCCCAGAGACAGACACAATGGGCACAAACTGAAACATGCTGGTGTATGTGTTTATGTATGTTTATGTATTTTAGTTCCCTCTAAACACCAAGAACCACTTTTTCACCTCAAGGGTGACCAAGCACAAGGGGCCCACAGAGGCTGCAGTCTCCAGCCCTGGAGGTATTCAATGGCATCTGGGCACATTCCTAGTCAGGAACTCTAGGTGGCCTTTCTTGAGCAGGGGTTGGACAAGATGACCTTCAACCATGCTGTGACAAGTCTTGCTCAAGATGGTGTTAACACATTCCATCTTTGACTGACACAATCAAAGAACAGTTTCCATTAATCTGTAATAACAGCTTCTAAAGGACTGTCACACTAGCTCCCAAATGATTTCCTTGTCAGAGAGGTTGTAAAGCAATGAGAAATTTGACAGTTCTAACTGGTGGCAGGGAGGCTGTACAACATTCTTCAGAGTAACATGTAATAAATCAGCTAGGCAAATACCTTCAGCAAAGGTCGTGAAAGATTCATGTCCTGGAATGACAAGTTATCATCGTATTGAGAGGCATCTTCAAAAAAGCTCTCTGCTTCCTAGAAACAGGAAAAACAACAAAACTGAAACAACACATGCAGCAACACAACATGTTATCGAAGGGCTCTGGGCTGGTTTCTGAGCTATAATTTGTTAACCAAAGCAAATTTCTCAGTAAGAAATACTGGAGAAATTTAACTAATTTTTAACACTTACCACTTCTCCCTTTTTTGATCTCTTCTTTTCCTTCACTTTGACCTTATCTGCAGAGAGAGAGAAATGTGACAGGAATTAGGAAGTACAGCTAAACCCATAACAAGATGAACTATCTTCACCTTGTAACCTCATACTTTTTGCTCTTGATTCAGATGTTCAGGGAGAAACCTCAGAAACCACTAGAGGCATGTAATGGAGTAAAATTGCTGAGTAAATATCCTTGTTCAGGGATGAGTTCAACTATGGCTACCATTCCAAATAAACTTGATTAAAATCAGAAAGAATGTTGCAGAAGGCAAACAAAATATAAAACGTGTTCCTTGCCCACTCCCAGCAAGGCTTCACTTCAGAATTTTCTCCAGTGAGCCAACTCTGTGTCAGATTCTTGGCCATCTCAGTGTGTACTGCTGATACCTGCTTTTGTGAAGATACTTTCATCATCCATTGAATACTCAGACTCCACATCTTCCTCATCCCTACTGCAATCCTCATGCTCCTTTTTGGTTTGATCATCTTCAGCCTCTGTTGAAGCCTCCTCATCTGCAGCCTCCTCAACTTTCACTTTGGCTTGTTTAGCTTCCCTTTCCTAAAAAAAAAAAAAAATTATGAAAATATTTTAAAAAGAAAGGATGAAAAAGAAACTTCAATCCTTTGTATGTGTTTGTTATTATGAGCCCATTCACAAATCCACGGTTTTGCATAACTTTAGTCACTAATAATTCTGCAACCTCATCCATTCAGCAACACATCACATGTGGCAACAAACCGAGCCGAAGAGATGAGCTGCAGCCAGAGCACTGTGGCTGAGGGAATGGCCAAACACATACCAGTCTTTTCAGCAATAAGAAAGTCCCTGACCTGGAGCTTCCTTTTCTGTCTCACTTTCTCAATCTTCTCATCCAGCGTCGTAGCTGCTTTCTAGGCAGAAAACCACAACAGGAGAGCTGTAAGAGGAGCCCAGGAGAGCAGCGGGCGCTGTGGCCTCTGGCACCGCAGCTCCGTCCCGGCCTCAGGCCTCACCTTGCCGCGGAGCTGCCGCAGCGCCGCCGTCCAGGCATCCTCCCCGCCGGCCTCCGCCTCCCCGAACACGAAGTCGGCGCTGAAGTCCCCGCGGGAGGGTCCCCGCCGCCTGGGGCCCGGTGCCCGGGGCAGCTCCTGCGGAAACAGCCGTGAGCAAGGACCGCGGCCCGCCCGCCCCACCTCCTCATCCTCGGAGCCTCCAGATTCGGAGTCCACGGGCACCACGTCCCCCTCGGCGATGGTGCCCACCAGGCCCAGGCTCTCCAGCGTGGCCATGGCTGCGAGCCGGAACCCCGCGGGCCACGCGTGCGCTGGGCCGGGCCGGGGGCCGGGCCCGGGCGGGTGGGCAGAGCCGCGGCTGCCTCCGCCCCGCAATGCTGGGAAAGGAAACCGAAAGCAGGTGTGCCGGGTGTCGGTGCGGTGTGTTTTCCATCCTTTGCGCTTCTCCTCTGCTTCTCTTCGCTTCCCCTTGCCGCGGGACCCGGAGAGAGAAGGAGAAGCTCCGTTTCGGGGGCGCTGTCCGCCGCTGGCGAGGAGCGAGGGCTCTGCCCGCCGGGCGGGACTTGCGGGGAACTGGAAAGTGAAACTTTGGGAGGAATTGGAAGGGGAAGCACTGGTGGGTGTCGGGACAGACGCGGCGGCTCCCGGGCTGTGCGGGCAGCGCAGCGCAGCATCGCCCGTGTTCGGCCGCAGGAGCGCCACGGTCCCCAGCGCTGCCTCGCCCCGGAGAGCTGGAACAGACCCCGAGCAGTCCCCGGCCGGGCGATGGAGGGTCCTGGGCGGGAGCCCAACGCCAGACAATCCCGAGGTGGAGCGAGAGGTGAGGGTCCCCCGGGAATGCAGGGCAAGGGGGCTGGGTGTGGTACTGGTACAGGGGGGTCCGCTACTTCCCTACCTGTGTACAAAGAAATTTTCTCTCAAGGCTGAGTTTCAACTCTTCCTTATTTGCCCTTGGAGTCTGTTTGGGGCCATGATGCGGCCATGTTGCAGCAGCCTCTTGCTATTTGCTCCTGCTAGCAATCAGTTTTTCCCTAAGCGTCCTGTGGGGAGTCTGACAAAGGCCCTGAGGGCTGTGCTTCCTGCCACTCCGAGAGGCTGGACTTCACCAGACACTCCATGTTTTGTGCGTGCTATGTACCGTTCAAGTCAGCTGTGGCGTCCTCTGGCATTATTTCACTGACGATTAACTCCCGAGGAAATGCTGTCCTGTGCAGAAAACTTAATCTTTCACCTTCTTACTCTGCCTTCAGGTCTGTGGAAAGAGGTTTTGGGGTTTTTTTAGTGTCTTTGTAGCTCAAATGAACTCTAAGCATGGCACTCTCTTTAGCAGTTGGATAGAAGGGTACAAATGAGACACCAATTTGAAAATCTGTGTGCAAATGTAATAATTTTTTAACTTGATGTCAAACGTTCAAAATATGCTGACTATCAGGTCAATATGCTCTTTCGTCTTGGTTGGGAGGCATCTTAATTTGGTTGATTTATAATTAAGGAGTGCCTTTTTTTCTGCTTTTTTAAAGGGCATGTGCTTCGTTTGGACACTGGCTTTATAGGAAGAGGCAGAAACAGAACAAATAATGTACCAGGCCAGGCACCTAAATTAGGGGAAAACCTCCAAGACAGTAATGATACCCTTTTACATGGACAAAGAAAAGAGGGGTTTAGTGGTTGGATTTCAAAGGTTCCTCAATCTGGTAAGAATGAACCAAGAATCCAAGGTGAACAGGCCAACAGTGAAGCCACAGGATTCTGGACAAAACAGAATGAGGGAAGGAGAATGAGGGATCAAGGTGGACAAACACATGAGAGGGGCAGAAGACCCTGGAATGAGCATGAAAATGCATTTAGAGGAAGAAGCTGTCAGCTTGGACAAGCCCGTGAGAGGACCAGAGGACCCTGGAATGAGCAAGAAAGTAGAGGCAGGGGGAGGAGGTATCAAGGTGGACAGGCTCAGGGAGGAACTAGAGGGAGAGGGCTGAGGAGTGGGTGGGAAAACGAAGGTAACACATGGAGGATGCAACCTCGGGAGAATCCTCATTTCCACCAGAATGCTACCCGAGGTGGTGGCCACCACAGTGAGCAGCCTCGGCAAGCCAGAAGGATTGGCTATAAATTCCTTGAAAGTCTCCTCAAGAAAGACCCCTCAGAAGTTGTCATCACTCTTGCTTCCAGTTCAGGGTTGAAGGAACTTCTTTCCCAAACAACCATGAACCGCAATTTTGTTCAACTCATTTGCCAGGTGCTTCAGAAAGTGTGCAGTTCCCAAATGGATAGACAGGGTGTCCAGCACATTCTTGGAGTTGTGAAGGAGTCCAACTTTCTCAAGGTCTGTCTGCCACAGTATGTGTCTGACATGGTAACAGAAGTAGTTCCTGCTGTACGCCATGAGTACCCTGAGCATATCAACAACATCATTTTACTTCTTCAGCACCTGATAAGTACTTTTCCAGCCAGCTCTGTGCAGAAAGTCTCCATTCTCTTGACAGTCTTGCCAGCATCCATAGATGCCCTGAGAACTTTTGGTGTGGACATCACAGAAGAGATAGAGAAGAATCTCAGTCAAGTCCAGATGCTCATGCAGCATCTGCAGGAGAAGAGACGTGAAGGCACACTGAGAGCTGATAAGTGTACATTTATGCAGCCTCAAGATGGGGAGGCAGAAAGCTATCGTTTCATGAGCATTTATCCAACATATGATGAGATACATGGTAATGAGAAACCTTTTCTACGTCCCAATTTTGTTTTTGGAAAATATGAAAGCACCAGTATTTATCTTGACACCCACTTCCGACTTTTGAGAGAAGACTTTGTAAGGCCTTTAAGGGAAGGTATTGTAGAGGTTTTGCAGAACCTCCAGGACAGAAATTTGAGAAAGAAAAAATTTGATGATATCAGGATCTACTTTGATGCACGGATTATTGCCCCATCTTGTACCCCAACTGGCATTGCTTACAAGGTCCAGTTTGACGCAAAACCACTGAGGTTTGTACATTGGCAGAATTCTAAACGATTGCTGTATGGATCCCTAGTCTGCATGTCCAAAGATCACTTTGAAACATTCCTTTTTGCCACTGTTTCTAATCGTAATGCTGCAGAACTTGTCAATGGGATTGTGGAGCTGTGTTTTGATGCAGAGAGCCAACCACTGCTGGGAGAGTTTGAACCCTCAGACTCTTTCCTCATGGTAGAGACAACTGCCTATTTTGAGGCCTATCGGCATGTGTTAGAAGGGTTGCAGAAAATGCGGGAAGAAGATATCCCATTCCAGAAGTACATTGTGGAATGTAATGCACAGGTGAAGGAGCCAGCATACCTGACACGGGATACTGTCTACAACCTTGCACCTTTGGTGAAGACTTCACGTAAAGAGAAGTGCCCTGATAGCTTGAAAAGTGTCAACATTCTAGATCCCAGCCAATGGCTTTCAATGGAAGCTTTGCAATTGGATGAATCTCAGATGCAGGCATTGAATCTTGCACTCACCAAGGAGCTGGCTATCATCCAAGGACCTCCTGGCACTGGTGAGACATATTTGCTTAAAGGCTCTGTAATTTAAGAAGTTCTCCTTGATTTCCCCATCTAGGGAGATTAACTTCAGAGAAATCCAGCTGTACTGTCTCCAAAGCTTTAGTCCTGTGCATAATTGAGTCACCCAGTTAGTGTGAGTGCTTGAGTCACCCAGTTAGTGTGAGCTGTGGAGACAGTTAAATATCCTCAAATAGCCATATCTGATCTTTGCCCACCTAGATGCAAGTAGACACCAACTGCACTGTTGGCTGTGCTTGTATATTGGGGTGAAGAAGTTTACAATGGCCTTTGAGAACTTGGTCCTTCTTGCTGTGCAGCACTCTTCTACTTGTCTTCACGGCATGTTAGGGCTTTGGGAACATTCAGCCATGAACCATTGTATGAATAAAGTATTACAAGATGGACTGTAATTGTTTTAAATGGCACCTGAATTTAACAAGCACCAGTGCTTGTATTCCAGTAGTATGTGGATGTTTCATGTGCAGCCAAATGTCATCTATGATGCCAGTATCAGAGTGGGCTGGGGGATGCCATGGGAGAGAGAACCCTGTGTCCAGGTCGGGTATATTATCCAAAAAATAACATTCTTGCAGACTGTGGCCTTGCTCAGCTACAGGCCGGAATGTCAGCTACTTTGTCTACATTTTGTAAGCTAATTACCCCTGGGGTCAGTTCTCTTGGTACAGACCGGATTGGCAGCCTAGGAAGAAATCTTGTATCTGTTTTTGATGATTTCTATGTTTCAGGGCACTCATACAGGGTGGATTACCCTTTTCTGATTCTGAGCTTGTCTTGCAGGGAAGACTTACGTGGGTTTGAAGATTGTTCAGGCTCTCTTGGCTAATGATCATGTGTGGCAAAGCACTTACCAGAAGCGTCCCATCCTCATAGTCTGCTACACCAACCATGCCCTGGATCAGTTCTTAGAAGGTAAGAGTACCTGCAGGCAGGATGGTGGTAGAATCATAGAATCATAGGATGGTTTGGGTTGGAAAGACCTTAAAGATCATCTAGTTCCAACCCATCTGCCATGGACAGGGATACCTTCCACTAGACCAGGTTGCTCCAAGCTCTGTCCAGCTTGGCCTTGAACAGTTCAAGCGGTAGTTTGTTGTGATAAGGCACGAAATGATGACACAGACACTGCTGCTCTCGAGTGGAACAAAAAAGAAGAACTTTTATTTTCTGACTCCAACATTTATAGTTTTCCAAAGGTGACAGTGGATTGGAGGGTGACAGTGCCACCTCTCCAATGCCACTGGACAGACCAAGGGTCCATCAATTCTCTCCACTTCCATGAAAGAATGCAAAACATAGGTTATTTACAGAACTGTGTGTGAGAAAGTTTGTTGAAAGAATGTAAACATCAGAAGGCTTAACAAAGTCTTACAAAATCAGGGCGACAGGTAGTGCATCCACAAATTCTCCAGTCAACCTGTTGTTAGAACCTGTAATTAGAAACTATACAATAATTCTTACTCTGCTCATTGTATGGCATGATAACCTGCATTTTGGTTTGACTCTTTTTAGTGACTCTAGCCCCATTTACATAGATTAAAAAAACTTCACTCAGAGCAAACCACTGTAGGATTTGCAGTCAAATTTGTCTTACTGCTGAAAACTGAGCTTGGCCCTTTAGTTCTAATATTTCTTTTTTATTCACAGGAATATTATCATTTGCATTAGATGGGATAGTGCGTATTGGGGGCAGGAGTAGCAGTGCAGCCCTGCACAGATTCACCTTGAAGGAGCTGAGGAAGCATACCAACAGATTTAACTTCCCAGACGACCACTTCAGAGACTATGATTATGTATGTACAGACCTCCTGGGAGATGCTGGGACCGGGTTGCCTGTGCATTGGAGGAGATATTAAACCTCCCCCACACCTGGCCTTTCACCTTGTTTTACGCTGAATTTGGCCTCTTTATTCTTCTGTCAGTTTTTTGTCGTGCTGTTAGTGAACTTTGTTCCTCTGAGTGTGACACTGCCTCTCTTGTCTTTGTTATGAGTAGATAATTCATGAGATGAAAACGGCTGAGGAGGGTCTCCTTGAAGGAGCGAAGCGGTTGGAGTGCACGGCCTACGGAGTTCTGCATGAGCGCTACTTGAAACCACACATGGCACCCCAGCACTGGGACAGCCTGAGAAGGGCTGTGGTAAGAGAGGTCCCTTTCTTCTGAGTCAAGTAGTGCCAGTGCATGCTCACCATCCTTTCTGCTAGTGGGCCTGAGGTTCCCCCACCATGCATTGTTTTAGCATCATTTGGTTACTGGGAAAGTTAAGGGAATGAACAGCAAGGTATGCCAAAGGACAGTAGACTAGACAGGCAGGGCAAGTAGGGGCTTTGAATTTTGCTCCTTTAAACTGCAGAGATTCTAAGTGATCTTTAGCAGCATTAAAATGCAAGCATCCAAAGGAAAGCCTCTTAAACTGAAGGGAGGAGGGGTACCCTTTCTGAAGATCTGGGGCTGCTTGGACTTTCTAGTTCTGGAGGGTGTCTTGGGGGGACTTGTCCTAGTTGCCATTGCTGTAAAGGTGCTGCTTTGGCATCATCCTAAGACTCTGAAGTGCAATAGGCCTGGCTCATTTGACTTTCCCTATATTAGGCAGACACTGAGTTTTACTACTTTGGTTCACGACGCTCACTGATTGTGGAGTGGCTGGGACTTGATGTATCTGCCTTCACCCAGGATGCGGCAGAGAATACATGGGCTGAAAATCCAGGTAAAACAAACAAAACAAAACAAAAAAAAAACAAACACCAGAAAGACACCCACCCCACACACATTTTCTACAAGTGTGTTTACCTAAGCAGTGTATGAGTGCCAGAAAAGAGACAATGCTACTTAATAGGCACTGAATGATGTGTGATACTGTGAGGGAGTGGAGAGAAGATTAACCCTAATTTCAATGCTGCACTGAAAGAGTGGCTGTGGCTTACTTCATGTGACTGGTGACTCTCACAGGTGGTCAGCAGGAAGGAGAGGAGGACAATGAAGATGAAGCAGAAGAGGAGCTTTTGGAGATCCCAGAGATGGCTGACCTGATTGAAGCTGAGAGAGTGATTGAGGATGAAAGAATAGCAAACTATTGGAGGAGGGAGAAGGAAGACAGTGTTCATGATCTAGCCCCTGCCATGTTGGCTATGAAGCTGGATCAAGAAGAAGGAACAGCTCAACCATGGCAGGAGAACATGCAGTGGGAGGTAACTGCATGCATTAGCATGACTGTGTAAAGAATAACATGGGGTGCTAACGCAAAAGAATCTTTGTGCTGTAACTGCTTATTGGGGCACTCTTTTTTTTTTTTTTTTTTTTTTTTAGATAACTCGTGGCCAGAGGAGAAAAATTATGCAGAAGATGAAGGTTGAGCTCCGTAAAGTGAACACAATGACAGAGTTAGAGGCCAATGCTGTTCAGGATGTGTGGCAACTTGACCTGAACTCCCGCTGGAGGCTTTACAGGTGACAAAGCTATTTTGCAGGGCTTGTCAGGCAGGTGTTTCCTAGGATCATTCCAGTGTGCAAAGTGTCAAGCCATGATGTTTCTGTTTGTACTTGTTCAGTTCCTTGTTTGAACATGTTTGTTCTTACCTTCCTTGTTCTGCATGGGAAGCAATGTCATGCCCTGCATTTGTACATGTTCAGGACTAAGTCCAGATGATAATAACCTGTTTTCCAGAAGGTATGGCAGAAGTTTTTAGCTGAATCCACTCAGAACCTGTGGATCACCATCTTGTTTTCCTTGCAGTGTGTGATAACGGCACTTTCTTCCCAGGCTTTGGCTGCAGACTTACCAGGGTTTTATTCGAGAGGACATTCGGGATCATGAAGAGCAGTATCAGGAAGCAGCCAGAAAACTGAAAGAACTGAAGCTGGAGCAAGATCTCTGCATTCTCAGTAGTGCCAGAATTGTGGGGATGACAACTACAGGTGCAGAGCAGTTGGGAAGCAAACCAGTATTGTATTGCTTCCAATCATGTTTAAAGAACCTTTTGCTGAAAGATTAGTATCATGTGTTGCTTCACAGCCTAAGTCAGGCTCTGCATTAGTCTGGAGCCTTTTTAATCTGTGACTCCCTCTGCAAAGTTGTTAATTAGTGGCATGAGCAGCTTCTGTGTTGTTTTGCACTCTCCCTCTCTCAAGCAGCATTCTTCTAATGGAACTGCACCACTTGTGTCTTAGTAAGGCACAGGTAATACCTGTATTGTTATTCCCACAGCACCTTCTGGAGATGGTAGTGTCAAGGTCATTGTAGTATGTCCCTTTGGAGAGACAATTTAGGCTTATTTAAGCATGTAGAACAATATATTGAGTGTTTCTTCTGTCTGAAGAGAGCATTGAAAAAAGGACCAAAGCAGGCATAGGACTAATCCCCACCTGCCTTCCTTAACTCTTCATATAGAAGCCATCCCTGGTATGGTGCTGTTTTAAAATTCAAAAAGCCAAGTGTTCAAATGGGGAATCTTGAGAAGGACCCCAGTTTTTCTGAGACAGAGCCTACTCCCCTCTGTGAAAAGTCTTGCCTTACTGCTTGAATGCAGTTATATCCTAAGGTTCATCTTCTGTCCTTGCTCAGGTGCTGCAAAATACCGACGGATCTTGCAGTACATAGAACCGCGAATTGTTATTGTAGAAGAGGCAGCAGAGGTGCTTGAGGCTCACACCATTACTACTCTGAGTAGTGAATGCCAGCACCTCATCCTCATTGGAGATCACCAGCAGGTAACTTTCATGACTAACATCTCTATCTGCTGGGTTAATGAACAAGAACTGTCTAACCAAAAGCTGTGTGGGAGAATTGCCGAGGTTTGTTGCTCCCCAGCTTCCATAGATATCACAGGTCCTGTCTCCTGTAGTTTTAGAGCTCCTGTGGGACTGGTGTTTTAGTTGAACTGATACAATTTTACATGTGCTTTGACTGTGACTGTATCTAGCTTTGATGTTTAGCACTTCTGCACTAATCCAATCTCTGGACTTTCAGTGGGTGATCAGTCACAGAAAATGAGACTGAAAAATCCTACTTACTCATAGGAAAAGTGCCAAAACATGGACCTCCTATCCCTTCTCTTTCAGTTGCAGCCTAGTGCAAATGTTTATGACCTGGCCAAGAACTTTAACCTTGAAGTCTCTCTCTTTGAACGTCTGATCAAAGTGGATTTCCCCTTTGTCTGTCTGAAGTACCAAGTAAGAAAGAGCGATAAAAATGGCATTTGTATTTAGGTTGTTTTAAGTTTGTAATACACTTAAGTTTATATTTCTACTGTTAGAGCAGCCTAAAAGAAAAGAATGTACTGTCTAACTTCTGAAAAAAGTGGTAGGAGCTGTCAAACTGATACAGAGTTCCAGCATATTATCAGTTATTTAGTGATATTGTCCACAGCACTGTGGTTCTCATGTTTTTGTGTGAAAACAATGGTTTATTTTGGCAACTGAAACTTCCACAACTTTGCAGCGTGAAACAGCACAATTCTTCTCAGGATGCTTCCTGTTAAATTGCTATAATAGTTTATCTTGGTGCCTAGGGAAGTTAATTCTACCACCAGCAGTCCTGTGTTAAAAGTACCTGAAAGAGCTCATTTAGTAGTTAGGGTGAGGTGCTGGCTTTTGTTATCTATAAGTGTGCTTAGATTTGCACTGAAACCAGCACTATTGTGCAACAGCCTTATCAAGAGATTTTCTTGAAGATGCTCTGCTGCTATCACTCCTGCAGTTGGTAGTGGTGTCAGCAATGGGGTGAGGGAGAGAAGGGATTCTTGAAAAGTCATCCTTGTCCTGTATTCAGCCACTGTCTGTACAGTGGAGCAAAAGAATATTGACAGGGAAATATGATGCTCCTTTCTCAAGACTGATAAAACTGTTTTGTGTTTCAGCACCGCATGCGCCCTGAAATTGCCCAGCTTATCAGTCCTCATATATACCAGAAGCTGGAGAACCATCCCTCTGTCCTGGAATATGAGAATATAAAAGTGAGTTTTCAGCAATCCAAGTGATTGCTTTTGTCCCCTGTTACTGGCTAAATGAGTTTCTGTAAACTACAGTGTTCAAGGATTTCAAATTCTTAGGTCAAATTCACTTACTGAAATTTATACCTGAATTGAGGAATTGTGCAATATAGAATTATGTAAGTAATTTGTAGTTCTTCTGGCTTTAGTGATGGTGGACAGTGGAAATAGATCCAATACCAATGACTTTAAAAGAACAGTAAAAAATGGAAGGGGGAACAAACAAATTGTAGGAGTTTGAAAGCTAGGAAGAAATCTTAATTTAAAGACTTAAAGCATAATATTGAAACTTCAACATAAAATAGGTGACAGAATTACTGGAACTCTTTTTCCTTGGTCTCTCCATTTGGGCATTTTACCAATAAACAACATCTGCAAAGAAGATCTGTGCAGCTTACAAGTATAAAGTCATCATTTATCATCTAGCATGCACAATAAACAGCCAGAATTTAGTAAGTTATTAGAATGCTTGCCTTGAGTATCAGTCAGAAGTGTCAGTCTTTGCTTCTTCCTTAGTGGTACTGAGTTTCCATCTTAACACTCACTCCCTACCTTCTGATTTGTATTTCCTCAATGAAATGAGGAAATACATATGAGGAAGCCCTAAGCAGGGCTTCATGTATCTCTGTGTTGGTGCTTTTCTTGCATCTTTGAACTATTAACAGTCATCTCTCTGTATTCTTACCTTGGAAAACCAGAGATCTGTGTTTGATTTACAAAAGCTGTTCTTTCCTGTTAAAATCAGTCTCTGGGTTTTGGCAGGGAGAACAACAATTTCTTACGGGTAGAATAATTCCAGTTAATAGGTAAAAATTTAAAAGCCCCTGCTAACTCAAGGCTAATAGAGTTTTTGAACAGGTGAGCAGTCAACTCCATACACCATGAGCTGGTAAAATGACTACTGGAGTCCTAGCATTCTTTTTCTGTTGAAGAAGAAATCTTCCTTGCTACTTTGTTTTTATTGCAGCAAAAAAGGAAGCAAAAAAGGTGTTTTAGGCAAGTGCTCAGCTCTGTGCACTGGTAACTTAGTATCTTTCTCCCACAGGGCCAAAACAAGACATTGTTCACACAATGAGCATGGTTTGAGAAGTTACAAACACTTCATGTTTTCTTGGGTATAACCTGGAAACGTACTGCAAAAACATCTCTGGAAAGATAGGAAATAAAATCAGAAACTGATTTCATATTATGATACTGAAATATTGCCAGTAAGCTGAAATGGGAATTTGATTAATAACCTATGGAAATCTAAGAGGAAATCACCTAAGTGATTTCCTAAGCGTGTATACTACAGTATACAGTAACTGCATACTGCAATCAACTCACTAAAAGTCCTCCTGTCAGTGGATAATGAGGAACATGGAAACACTCTGTGCTGACAGAAACTAGAATTCTCTCTCTGACATCCTTCCTCTTGTTTCAGGGTGTCTCAACTAATATCTTCTTTGTGGAACATGAGGTTCCTGAACAAGAGATCCAGGAAGGGAAAAGCCACCAGAACCCACACGAGGCCCGCTTTGTAGTGGAACTGTGCAAATATTTCTTGTGTCAGGGCTATGAACCTTCTCAGATCACCATTCTCACTGCTTACACTGGACAGCTCTTCTGTCTGCGTAAGCTCATGCCAGCAAAAACCTTTGAAGGTGTGAAGGTTCATGTGGTAGATAAGTACCAGGGAGAGGAGAATGATATTATTCTGCTGTCATTGGTGCGGAGCAACAAGGAGGGGAGACCTGGATTCTTGCAGATCCCTAATCGGTTATGTGTGGCATTATCCAGAGCTAAGAAAGGCCTCTATTGTATTGGAAACATGAGAATGCTTGGCAAGGTTCCTCTCTGGAACAAGATCATTGAAACCCTTGGGAAGAACGGTCGCATTGGCCAGTCATTGGAGCTTTGCTGTCAAAACCACCCTGGAACCAAGACAAAGGTATCTACAGGTGAAGACTTCAACAGCGTCCCGGAGGGAGGCTGTACTCGTCCCTGTGAGTTTAGGTTGAATTGTGGACATGCTTGCGCAAGGGCATGTCACCCGTATGACCCAGAGCACAAAAAGTACCAGTGCCTGAAGCCTTGTCAAAAGGTACTTTGTGCAGATGGACACCACTGCCCAAAGTCATGTTATAAGCCCTGTGGAAAATGTTTGGTGAAGGTAGAGAAAACTATTTCTAAGTGTGGCCACATACAGATGGTGCCATGCCATATTCCAGAGTGGCAATTTGAGTGCCTAGAGCCTTGCCAGAAGAAGTTAAACTGTGGACACACATGCAAACGTTCCTGTGGGCAGCCATGCACAATGAAGTGTCCTGAATGGGTTACAGCCACACTGAAATGTGGCCATGAGCAGAAAGTTTTGTGCTGGATGACTGAGATGGGACATGAGGAGGCTGTGAAATGTGAGACAAAGTGTTCTGTCACACTGGCATGTGGTCATGTATGTTCAGGTTCCTGTGATACTTGCTTTGGAGGAAGATTTCATAAGGCATGTGACAGCCCATGCAAGCGTGTCTTGATCTGTTCCCACAAGTGTCAAGAGCCTTGTACTACAGAATGTCCTCCTTGTCAGAAGGAATGTCAGAACTATTGTATTCACAGTAAGTGCAAAAAGAAATGTTGGGAAAGCTGTGTTCCTTGTGCAGAGCCATGTGAGTGGCAGTGCCAGCACTACCAATGTACCAACCTTTGCTCTGAGCCGTGCAACAGGCCTCGCTGCAATGTTCCCTGTGCTAAGATGCTACCCTGTGGTCATCCCTGTGTTGGATTGTGTGGAGAGCCCTGCCCAAAGAAGTGCCTTGTTTGTGACCACGAGGAGCTCACTCAGATCTTTTTTGGCTTTGAGGATGACCCAGATGCTCGATTTGTAGAGCTTGAAGACTGTGGCCATGTCTTTGAGTCACAAGGCCTCGACCACTATATGGATGAAGATGATGATGTCGTCAAGCTGAAGGTATGCCCTATGTGTCAGACACCCATCAGAAAGAATCTGAGATATGGCAGCAGTGTGAAAAGGCAGGTGGAGGAGATAGAACGAGTGAAACAGAAAATCCAAGGCCCGGCAGAGGAAATTGAGTCTAACAGACAGAGACTGCAGGCTGCACTGAAGCAGAATATTTATCTGAGGTGTAATCTATCCTCTAAGTATGCCATGCTTAAAGAGAAACTAAAAGCTTCTCCTCTCTCCACAAAGAGTATTGGACTAATTGAGAACCTGCTTAATTTCTATAAACGTGTAGCAGACCTAACTAGTTCTCTGAACAAAATTGCTGAGAATGAAAAGAAGGGTCTGGTAAAGAGGCTGGATGAAGTGCAGAAGTGGTTGGACAAGCAACGTATCAGTTTTACAGGACAGGAGCTCGCTGACCTGCAGTCTGAGATCCAGAGACTGACTTACTTGCTGAGCCTCTTGGTAAGGTGCAAAGCAAGTAGGATGATATCCACAGACATCGCAGCAGAGATTAACAGTGCACGTGAGATCCTGGAAGGGACGAAGAAATTCACAGAGGAGGATGAGGCTGCAGTGAAGGCTCACCTGAAGAAGATCAATGTTAGCTTACCCATGTCAGGGCTGGGGATTTCTGAAGCTGAGCGGGTGCAGATTGTCACTGCTATTGGCTGTCCCCGTGGCCACTGGTTCAAGTGCAAAAATGGGCATATCTATGTAATTGGAGAGTGTGGGGGGGCAATGCAGAAGAGTACGTGCCCTGAGTGCCATGAGGTCATCGGTGGCACCAACCACACTCTGGACAGCAGCAACAGCCTGGCCCCGGAGATGGACGGGGCAACCCATGCGGCCTGGTCCGATGTGGCCAACAACATGCTCAACTTCGAGGACCTCCGCCGGCTGATGTAGAAGGGCGTGAGCCTCGCTCCTTACTACAGACACGCTCGCAGGGGCACAGCCCCGCTGCTTTCCCCGTTTGCTTGCTCACTAATAAATTAGTGTGTCGCTCCCAACCGGGCTCGGCTGTCTGTGTGGGGCGGGGCTCTCTCTATGGGGCTGTCTCTGTGGGGTGGGGTTGTCTCTATGGAGCTGTCTCTGGGGGGGGGGGCTGTCTCTGTGGGGCGGGGCTGTCTCTGTGGGCCTGTCTCTGTGGGGTGGTCTGTGGGGCGGGGCTGTCTCTGTGGGCCTGTCTCTGTGGGGTGGTCTGTGGGGCGGGGCTGTCTCTGTGGGCCTGTCTCTGTGGGGTGGTCTGTGGGGCGGGGCTGTCTCTGTGGGACTGTCTCGGCGGGGCGGGGCTGTCTCAGTGGGGTGGGGCTGTCTCTCTGGGGCTGTCTCTGTGAGGTTGTCTGTGGGGCGGGGCCCCTCCAGCCGCTGCCGGAGCGGACGTGACGCGCGGGGCGCTCCGGGGCCGCCCCGCAGCGATGGAGGCGCGGGAGCCGCTGCGGGACGTGCGCGGGGCGCTGCGGGCGGTGCTGGCGCGGCTGCGAGGTGCGGGCCGGGGCCGGGGCCGGGCGGGGGTCGGGCCGAGCCGGGCCGGCTCCCCGCGGGCTGAGCTGTGTCTGTGCCGTTGCAGAGGGAGAGCCGAGCGAGGGCCGAGAGCCGTTCGAGCTGCCGCGCTTCTGGGACGCGCTAGGTACGGGCGGGGAGCGGCCGGGCCGGGATTCGGAGGGCCGGGGCAGGGCTGCTATCTCCGCGGGTCTCAGCTGTGGGGCGTGCCCTCCCCTCAGGGAGTCACGGAATCGGCAAGGCTGGAAGAGAGAGATGTTTAAGATCAAGTCTAGCCGTTAACCCAGCTCTACGTCTGCAAATCCTAAACCACGTCAGTGCCAGATCCAGCCTCCTAAACATCCCCAGGGTTAGTGACTCCACCACCGCCCAGGCCATCCTATTCCAGTGCCTGACCGCCCTAACTCTGGTCACCAGACACTCCAAGGTGTGGCAAAGCAAAGGCCGGTATTGAACCGTTCATAAAAGATTTATAAAGGTCTCTATTAAAAGCCTCCTGGCACATCCTGGTGAGCAGGTCATGAACCGGGATGCAGGCTGGGGTTCTGGCTATCGCTGCCAGCCAGGTGAGAAAAGGCAGACACAGGACACAAACAACATGCATGGCACAAATGCAGCAGGAAATTTTTCTTTGTAGTGGGGTTTAGTTTATATGTTTGTATGGCTTGGGTGTAATAGTAAGCAAGTAGTAGAATCAGGGCTACTGCTCATCAAGCTGCTCTGTTCTTTTATCTTGTACCGGAGTTACTTTCTCTTCTTTTGCTCCTGTTGGATTTTTTTTTAAGGTCAGACATTCCAAGTAACATCACAGGAAGCTACAAAGCTGAGTCTGGCATTCTCAAGGCCTCCACTACCTTCTGCAGAGGTGAGAGAAAGCCTTGACAGACTGAAATTGCAGTGTGTGTGGAAGCTTCAGGAATTTCTTGGTTCGTTGGACTAAATGGGCTGTGTACTGCAGAGTGTATTAGTATAATCCAAGAACTGCCCTGAGAACTAATTTTTGTAACGTAGGGAGATATACTAAATAAAAGTGTTCTTATGTTCTTTCACAGCTACTGCTCGTTGCTGATAGAATCAGATTATTGGAGAATACAGACCTTAGGTTTAAAAGAATATGCAATATTTTTGCTATCAGTTGTGAGAAGTTTATCATACAGGTGTTCAGAGGAGAGAAAAAAAAAAGACCTTCAGTTCAGAATAATGATCTAAGTTACTTTTTCCTCTCTGGTGCATGACCATCACACCAGGGAGTGTTTTGTTACTATATCACAAGGCAGGTTAAGATGCACACAGCTTGCTTATGGTGCCTTCTTGTGCTGTATTTGTTTACTCAGAGCAGTCTGAAAGCCAGTGATTGCTTGTGAGGATTTCTAAATGTGGTGCAGCTGTGAGTTACTCATGGGTGACCCTTTTGCCTCTCCATTTTCAGAATTGCCGGAAGCTGAGTGAGGATGTCCAAAATGCCATTCTTGCAGTTGCCACGGTGTACTACTGGCTACCCAAGGGCCAAGGTGAGCTAGTGACAGCAAGGCAGTCACCAGTGTATAGGATGGTGGTTCTTTCACCACCACTATGTAGAGAAACCCAGTGTTTCAGTGATGTAGTAAATGCACATTTCAGAGCCTAATGAGGTCTGGTATCAGCAAGTTTTCCTTAGCATGGTATCCCATTATCAGCTGTTCTGTAGACTTTGAACATGTTTATGAGTGAGGTACTTGTCTGTCTGCTGCTGCAGTTTTCCATTTGTGGGAGAGTGATGATGTAGGAAGTTGTGTAGTTGATTGAGCATTGACATGTATGAAGTTTTGAAATCCTTGTCCGGAGTTCTTTTGGAACTGGGAAGCATTTTCCTTTCTTCAAAATACACAACTTCATTTGTACAGCGTATCCACACAAACAGAGCAGTGTGTGTGTTCATCTTCAGCACTTGCTTTCTGTCAGTGCTGACTTTGTGCCAACTTTCCTGCTCTTTCTCTGTCTCACCCAGGTACTACCCTTCGGAAGATGGTTCGAGATGCTACCACTGAAGTGGTGGAAGGGATGATCCAACTCACAGACACAATTCTCAATGCCCCAGCGGAGAGGTTGTAATTTTCAATTGCATGGTTCTGTGATTTTGGGATAATTTTTGGGAAAAAAGGCAAGAAAAAGTTAAAGTATACTTGGTAGGAGGCAGCAAGGGCTTTACACAGACATGGCATCCTAGTGACAAGCTGGTTGGTGACATCTTTGCAGCAGAACTTTTGCTGGTGTTTATCATCTTTGGTGCAGAAAACTAAACCACAGTCTAGCACAGTGCTGTTATTGACTCTAACCTTGAGGGTTTTGTTTTGTTTTCTTTTAGCTTGTCTCAGGAACAGCTGATATCAACTGGAGGTGTGTGGGAGGCCTGTGAGCAAGTGTCTAACCTGCCACGAGGTGAGCGTTGTAAATGCAGAGCAACAGCTCTAGGATGTTCTGTCTTTGAATAGCAAAAGCTTTTGCAAGGGTGTTCCAGCTGGTACAATGAAGACTGAATGGAGAATAACTCAAAATCTTGACTGGTTTTGAAATGTATAAGCTTGGAAATCAGGTCAGATTCTTTGCCTGACAACAGTGCAGCTCTGAGCTCTGCAAGAAGTTTGATCCTACATTGATTGCAAGCCTAGATGGAGGTTGTTGCAAACTGATTTGAAACAGTGGGGTGCCACAGTTGTCATCCTTTTGCTTTTGCAGATAACCAGGCAGCAGTTGTGTCGGCTCTGGCTTCATCTCTAGGTGTGGTCAAGGATGCTGTGGAGGAGATGGAACATGTAAGGAAACCCCTAAGCCTTAGAGGAACTTGCAGTGGTGGATTCATAGACTCAGAATATTCTGAATTGGAAGGGATACACAAGGAGCATCAAGTCCAGCTCCTTGTCCTGCACAGGACAACCCAAACAATTCCACCCTGTGACTGAGAGTTGTCCAAACGCTCCTTGAACTCTGGCAGGCTTGAGGCTGTGACCTCTTCTCCGGGGAGCCTGTTCCAGTGCCCAGCCACCCTCTATGGTGGTTCAGTGATGGAACACAGAAATTATTTTACATACAGGCTTTAATATAAATTTGCTCCAACGTGACATAGATTATTGGTTTTTGCATGGATTTTAATGAGATTTTATTCTCAAGCCTGGTTTACTTTGTGTAAGATTTTTGTAAAGCCATGTCCTGAATTGGGGATAGGGGAGGCAATTTAGGATCATGTAAGAATTCACCAGGTTCTTGCTGTTTGCACTGTTAGAGTGATGGTTTTTCTTAATCTGGTCATTTTAGAATTAACCAACTGAGAGTTCTCTGTTAATTATTTATATGATGTCTAGATTATGCTTTCCCTTTGCTCCTGGGTATTACTGGAATTGATGTTAGGCTCTGGGTTTTCAGTGCCTCTGTGTTCTCAGGCACTGGTGGAAGGGCAGGACCCCTATGGGGACATCATGGAAGATGAAGAGCTGGGCTTTCGGGGCAACAGAGACACATACTGGTCAGAGGCTGACCGGCAGCTGCTCAGCTCCTGCATGGGATTGATGAAGGCTTCTAAAGCTTGCCTGAAGAAGGTCTTGGCTGCAGTGAAGGCCCATGGCAAAGCTGATTCTCCAGAGCACATTGCACAGCTGGATGACCTGGCAGACATTGCTAATGAGATCAGCCCAAGGTAAGCAGGATTCTCCCCATGCTGCTTTTCCCTCTAGAGCAGTCCTGATCTTTCTTGGAGGTTTTGAGTGAGGAGTTAGGAACAACCTTTATGATACTGGAGCTGTGAGCAGGTGTTGGACACAGATGTGGTGGGAAGGCTGTTAAGCTGTTAAGGGTTGTGTAGGTCAGGAGAGAAGCATAGGGGATGGAGCTGTGACCACATCTCACTCCATGGTGAGAGGGACACACAGGTGACTGAGAAGGCAGTGGGAAGCATCCCATAGGTACAGCTGACATCTCTCTGTTGTTCCTGACCTGCATTCAGGATGGGTGCAGGCTTTGACCAGGGTCTGTGAGTTGTGCTACCAGAACATTCCTTCCTTGCTCCCCTCTTTTCTGTTCCAGTGTTGATGAGCTGGCACTGAGCATGTACCCACCTGTGAACCCGTTGGCTGTGCGACTTAATGTGAGTATCTGCAGTACTGATACCTCAGTGTCTGAGCATCTGAGCACAGGGAATAGGAAGAAATCAGATTGGAGGGGTTATGTGATTTCAGGGAGAGATGGGTGCTAGTAACTGCCTCAGTAATAATTTCTTAGGGATGAAGAGTGCCCTTTGTTCTTGCATACTTCCTTCAGGTGGACACACATTCTGCATCTGTACCTCTTCAGGGTACTTAACACTTCAGCTCTGACTATAATTCATAGAGATTTCCAGTGATAGAATCTCAGGAAAGTGATGTCTAAGGCTGCGTAGGTACTGCAGATATACCTCCTTCCTTGGGTAGTGCAGTCTTGCTCAAATAAAGCTATCTATGAAACGAAAAACTCTTACAGTGAGTGTATTTAAGCACTG